GTGTGTCCCTTTTTGGAAGTTACTACTGTATTTCATTAGATACACATGATAGAAAGTCCAATACTTCATGTGTAAGGCTTTTCAAAGTTGAATTCTTCAATATCTTTTGACATAATTACATCAATATTGATTCGTTTTTCAGATAATGGTTTCATTGTTTTTTGATGGTGTAGTGATCAGGACGATTCCATTTGCTGAAAATCTGTCTGGTTAAAGTACATTCTGTGCTCTTGATCTGGCATTAAATGGTTAGCCTTTTCTCATCATAAAAAAGAAATGCATAAATCCTTTATTCCTTTATGCATAAATCAAGACTTTTATGCATAAAGGAAGCTATGAGGGCCAAGGTTATGCCATCAGAATAATGAGAGAATAGAATACACAAAAATAATATTGGGGCAACATAGGAACTTTTTTTTTTTTTTTTGAAGAAATACATCAACATCAGTGATGATTGCATTGGAAAGTGTTGATTAAATATGCTTTAAAGGGAGAACTTTATATCTAATTATCCTATAAAATAAAGAGGCTGTGATGCTCTCTATGTAATCTGGTTTTGTACTTAGGATGTTTTGAAGATGACATTACATTTACGTTTAAATATAAGCTATATGCGGATATGTACGGATTTGTAAATACATGTTAGGTGACTTATAAATAAATTGTTTTATTCCCCGTGCAGTGCAGCGCGTGATGAATATTAAAGGAAAGCTAAGGAAAATTAAAATACAAGAACACGTGCATTTAACATTTAATAAATAAATATCTCTTTTTAATTTCGAGAAAGTTCCAGAAAATTCTTGTGCACGATATAAAAGCTTATAAAAGGAGGAAAACCTCTCAATTCATTTTTATTTTAGTTAGCTTGTTGTTGTTTTAAGAGTTTGTTTTAGAAAACTGCTCTTGTTGACTGCAGCGAATTTGTGGATTAGCTTTCTTTAGCTGTTTTGAATTGAGTTCTCTTGAACATTTGAATAGTTAAAAGATAAATACTGTGAGATATTGTTTGCTTGGATAATAATAAATTTTGTTCATGTTTCATTAGACTTGTGCATTCATTTCATAACGAACCCGTACGCACGCAACAATTTTTGGTGTCAGAAGTGGGATTTGAATGCCATTAACAAGAGCGACAGAAGAACAGTTAAGGCAGTTGATATCAGTCTTTGCCTCGTTTAAGGAAGAACTGAAAGTGGGACAGGAACAGGACCAAGAATCTGTTAAAAAGGAGATGAAAGCCATTCAAGAAAAGATTGAAGCAGGTCAGGAGGAAATGGAAAGAGAAATAACCTGCATAATAGAAAGTAAATTTGAGGCTATGTAAGACAGAATAGGAGCTGTCAAAAGTAAAGTCGGACAAATTGTCGGCTGTGAAGTAACGAGTCAAAGGAAGAGTTTTGGCCGCCCAACAACAAATTGAAGAAAGTGTTTCTTACCTCCAAGGACATATCGAGCAACAAATTGAAGACAAAATTTCTGCTGTCATCGGCAAAGAGGTTCACACTTTAAAGAAATTCGTAGAGACGGCAGGGAGCAGTTCGATGGTTTTAAATTCTTACCCATGCCTGCTCGTTCTTCACTGAAGCTATCTACCTATGATGGGAAGACCTCTTGGCATGTCTATAAGACACAATTTTCAATATTGGCAGAAGTGAATGGATGGGATTCCCAAGCTAAGGCCTGTCATCTCGCCGCTTCACTGAGAGCAGATGCAGCGGATATCCTTCAGACTCTTCCCGAAAACCAAAGAATAGATTTCGAAGCTCTGTCTGGTGCATTGGAGCTGCAGTTTGGAGAGAAATGTATGAAAGACTACAGTAGGCTTCAGTTAAAATCCCGTCAACAGAAGCCTACCGAAACACTCCAGGAACTTGCCACAGATGTTGAAAGGCTGTACCCACCTCGCCTTTACGGACTGTCCGAGAGAAACGAGGGAAATCCTGTCCCTGCAGTACTTTATCGATGGTATCAGGGATCCCGAAATACAGAAGGCTCTGCGAGTGGCAGATGTGAAGGACTTAAAAAGTGCTCTGTTGTACGCCTTGAAATTCAAGGCAGCTCAGCAAGAAACTCGTAGAGATCACTACCCAGTCAGAGCTGTGCGAGTATATGAGCCAGGGGTCCAACTGATGGCTTGTTTACATGATTTAGCCAGAGAAGTCAACGCTTTGATACGGAGTAGTAAGGAGAACAAAGTGGCTCTAAGGTGTTGGAAATGTGGTACTGAAAGGCACATACGACAGCATTGCAGAACATTCCAGGGCACGGATAATAAAGTGGATGACTTGATAAGACCAGTGAATGCCTTGAGACGGAATACTGGTGAGAATAAACCAACCCTAAAGTATTGGAGCTTCAGTGTTGAAGGCCACATATGAAGGAAGCAGAACATCCCAGAGCATGGAAAATAAGAGAGGTGGGTCAAACAGACAGTTAAATGTCATGGGACAGAAAAAGATTGACAAGAAACTAAAGTGCTGGAACTGTGGAACTGAAGGCCACGTGCCAAGAAACTGCAGAACACCCCGGATCACGGAAATTGAGACCATTTCCTAGCAACGATGGAGGAAACAAATGAATGACCATATCGAGGAACGGAGGTGGCAGAAAATGAAAAACCTTGTTTTAAAGCACTCAAGATTTCTACAGTGAGTGGCAACAGCAACGGACTGTCCATCAAGGGGCATATCCATGGAGTTCCTTGCAATATGATCATTGACACAGGAGCTAATGTTACCATCATTCGGAGAGATGTAGCTCAACAGTTTAAAGATAAACTTATTTGGACGCCATCCTGTGTTACCCTTCAGACTGCATCTGGTGATAAGATCAACATAGCTGGGAAGTTAAACGTGAACATCACGTTCGGAAATGCTGCCTACCATTACACAGCATATGTGGCGGATATTACAGATCCATGAATACTCGGATTGGACTTCTTAAGGGAATACAATTTTTCCTTAGACTTCAAAAACAACAAGTTGTTGACTATCCATCCTGAAAAGGGATCATTGCCTGGAAATGCCGACGTCTCATGTAAAGGACCCTACTCAGACAGCTGCCGAAATCATACTAGGGTCAGAGAGAAATGTCAGACTACCAGTTATTCTCCATCCCAGATGCTATTCGGTCGAGACCTTCATCTGCCTTGTGATTGCCTGTTTGTTCACCCTACGGATGCACCTTCATCACCTGAGGAATACAAGTTGTCCAGGCCCGGTTTGAAGTCACGCACTGTTCCGCACAAAAGCGAGTCAACTTGGCGAAGGAGAAAGTGAAGATCAGATATGACAAGAGAGCTACTGGACACAGATTAAACGAAGAAGACAAAGTGTTGTTGTGGAACATGTTTCGACGAAAAGGAGTCGGGTACACAGTCCTAAAAAGGCTAGAGGATTTTGGCTTCCCTGCTCCAGGAACTTAAGCCCACTACAGGTCTACTCCCCCTTTGGGCATGTCGTGGAGGTTCAACCTCCACTATTACCCTCCAGGAGAGCAGCGCACCTGGGGACAGGCCCCAGGCAGCACCGGTCGTCTAATGCTCCTACCAGTCGCTTGGGCGAGCCTGTCGCAGCGGGACATTACCCAGTGACCCCAGGGGAGACCCCCGGGTTACTAGAACCACGCCGCACTAGGACGTGCCAGACTCCGGGGCCGACCAATAAGTGACCTTTCCCAGAGCCTTCAGAACCACCAAGTTCATAAATTTTATACCCCCGTGGCAGAGACTGCCTAGGTACAGATCCTAGCCAGTAGCTTCGCAGAGTTCTCTACGTCGAACCCCGGGGATCTCCTAAAAAGGCTGAATGACGTCATGGTTCAGATCAGTAAGTCTTTGAACTCTAAACCTAAAGTCATTCATTACGACAGGTTAGCTCATTACTATGGCCATAGTACGTAGTGTAAATAATTGTAAATAGTGTAAGACCATGGTCCTTTTTGTTTCTAAATGTGTATTTAGTATTTGTTTTGTATTTTGTATTTAATTTGTATTTAGTATTCGATAGCATTTGATTTGTTTAAAGTTAGTTATTGCATTTATTGTTCATGTTGTTTGTTATTGTAATGTAATACTTAGTATTACATTTATGCCTTAGTTGTAAGTTTGGCTTCCTGTCCAGGGATTGTACTGCCTGGGATGTGCAGTCCTTGGGAAGGGGCAGTGTTACGGATTTGGTATTTAAATAGCTAATGTTAGTTGAATTATAAGTTAAATTGTTGTATTCCCCGTGCAGTGCAGCGAGTGATGATTATTAAAGGAAAGCTAAGCCGGAAAATTAAAAATACAAGAGCACGTGCATTTAACATTTAATAAATAAATATCTCTTTTTAATTTCGAGAAAGTTCCAGAAAATTCTTGCGTGCTATTTAAAATTTTATAAAAGGAGGAAAACCTCTCAATTCATTTTTATTTTAGTTAGCATGGTGTTGATTTAAGAGTTTGTTTTAGAAAACTGCTCTTGTTGACTGCAGCGAATTTGTGGATTAGCTTTCTTTAGCTGTTTTGAATTAAGTTCTCTTGAACATTTGAGTAGTTAAAAGATAACTACTGTGAGATATTGTAATACTGCATGAATATCTGAGGAAATTTAAGCATTTTTGCTTGGATAATAATAGATTTTGTTCATTTTTCATCGGACTTGCACATTCATTTCATAACGAACCCGTATACATGCAACAATATGCTTTAAAAGGAGAACTTTATATCTAAATTATTTCTATAAAATAAAAGAGTCTTGTGGATACTCCTTTTGTGTAATATCTGTTTTTGTACATTTAGGATGTTTGAAAATGAACATTACATTTACTGTTTTAATAATTATACGTAGACTTTCTTAAAAAAAAAAAAAAAAAAAAAAATTATGGGAAAGGTCCCAGTATTATGTATAATATTTTTTTATGATGCTTAAAAGTATTTTTATATATAGTTTATATTTATTTTCTCTGAAAAATATTATTTTAGAAAAGTATAATAACTATGTTCATCTCTAATCCATTTATAGTTTGTTTAACAAACTAAAAGAAGAAGTACTCTTTAAACTTTGAAAATGACTGATGAAAATATTTCCAACTTTTCTAAACACTGTGATTCTTAAGGTAAAATTATCTTTCAAATTTGTTATTTCTGTATTGTTTTAAAAAAAAAAAAAAAAAAAAAAAAGTTTGTACTTGAATGCAATAGTACTTTAATTTTCAAGTGCTTATTTTAAGTTTCTATACTGTAACTGTACTGTAATTTTAAATTTCTGTTCTTTACTGTATTTTTAAGATTTAAAGCTAGGCCAAAAAAAAATTAATGGGGATTTTGAATAAAATTGTAGTAATTTCGTGGGTGATCAGGCATTGATTTCTTTTTGGTTCTGATAATTTATTCAAACTGCATACCAAACTAAGATTGCTGTTTTCCTCTCTCTCTCTCTCTCTCTTTTTTTTTTTTTTTTTTTTTTTGAGGGCCTAACTTTAAATTTTACAGTAGCATATTTATAGCTTCCCTTTCAGTTACTACTGCAATACGCATACTAAACTGCAGTTACTACCCAATACGCATACTAAACTGCAATAAAAATTAAGCATATTGCTTGCTTAGATATGTTATGTTATCAGGACCATATTCAGAAATGTGTGTATGTATGTATGCATGTATGTGTTCATGTATGCATGAACAAATGTATGTGTGTATACATATACACATATATGCACATACGTACATTTACACAAACATTTTTTAATCCAATCCCAATAACAGAGCAGTACCCTTGTTTATTTCAGGCTATGCTAAATTGGAAGCAGAGAATTTTAATAAATTTTAGGTTCTTTCTGATTATCTGCATTCCTGCCGAAAAGTCACAGAAAAGTATTCATGAGGCAAAGCACTATAGTGCCAAAATAGTTATGTGATGACCCACAATACATTTATGTAGCTACTCGGGTATCTGTATAATACACATCTGTTTAATCGGTATGCCGTGTTGAATTGAACGGATGCCAAGTTTGTGCAGTTCTGTGTAATGATATTATGTAAGCAGAAACTAATCGCTAAGTTATAGGAAGAACAAAATTACAAAAGAAGGATTTTTTGAAAAAGGATCTTATTACCAGTCTTTTTCTTTTACTTTTATTAATTGATTGTTCTCATATAGAAATCTTAGTACGCTACCGTTTGAAAATGGCCAACCATTTGTGACTGTTGACCATCTCGCTAATGGACACAATGTGTGTTAAGATAATTTTTTGGGCATTAGGAAGCCTGGTGAAAAATTAGTCACCAACGAATTTATGAATACTCTCCAAAATTGGCAAGGAGTGTGCGACTTTTTGGTGAGGTGCGTATAATCAGAAGGTACCAGATTTTATGCAAGAAAAGTTTGTAATTTACATTCCATTCAATTTTTGTTATTCAGTCTTTTTGTTCAAATGTAGTAAATATGTTTTGTCTAAGTGGCAGAACTAAAATTAGTATTATGTGAATTAAAAATCTTTCAGGGAATTGTCGCTATTATTTCAGAATATAATAAAATTTTGTCTTTGAGTAACATTTATGCCATGTTACATGAGCTCAATATACATTTCTGATGAGAGTTAAATATTCTTTCATTGTTGTTTTCAAAATCTTTATATTTGTGAGAATTTTTATGGTTGAATGTACTTGGTAAAGATTGCTCAAAAAGTATTTAAAAAAAAAAAATATTGGTACTTATCAGTTATACAGGTGGTTATTTTCTTGGTGATTATTTTTTGGTTCCCAAAACTTTTTTAGTGATAAAACTTCTCTTGCAACATTTTGTTAATCCTAGTGCATATTTCTAGTTATTTAGTCTGTAAAAGGATCATCCATGGCTACAGTGGTTTACATTTATATTCTGATCTTTCCGTACATCAGTTTTGCTTGCTACATTTTCTTCATTTCATTAGCTAAGCATTTAATTAATAATGACAAGCAAGTACTTACAAAATTTTCTCTGGTGGAACCAAGAAGTATAGGTAATGTGATGTAATATACGAGTATCTTTCAGGAGTTTGATAAAGTTATCAAGTAACCAAAAGTTCACAGGAAACATTTTATTGCCAAAAAAGGTCAAGAAAATATTAACTGGGATAACTGATAGGTGCTAATACATTCTTATATGAAAAAAATTAGTTTAAAAAGAATTTTTTTTCCTAGGTATAATTTATTGCAAGATGAACAATAGCGATTCTCCTGATCATATTGAATATATTCGTACTGAAGTGGAAGGCAAAGGATGGATTAATGAAGAAATACAAGAACTTAATTCTTCTCTGAAAATCTGTTGTATACCTTTACCAAGAAGGTTTTTTTTGTTTGTTAAATATATTGCTCCTACACTCATATTACTTGTCAGTTTTGCTGCTGATATCTTTAGTGGAGTTGCTGTTTCAGTTAGGCATTATCGTGATGGCCACATTTGGTGGTTTAGCTTAACTGTTGTCTTTATCTCTGCTCCAGCTGTTATGTTTATAGCTCATGCAATATTGCAAACCATCACTAATCCAGATATTCAACTGTCTAAAAAATTATTATGGATTGTTCTTTATATCTGCACTGGAGGAGGCTTTCTGCTATGGCCCTTGTGGAGGTAAGTCATTTTCTTTATATATGCCAACATTTACTTAAACCTATCTTCGTTTTAAAAAGTTTTACAAAACTAAAAGACATGTTATCCATGTCTAGAAAGTAAACTCAAGATTGTATTATGACAGGAAAAAAATATAAAGATAGTAGTACATTAAAAATTGCATATAATATTTATGCATAGTTGGATCCAAGAGTTTTGAGACTTAGTGTGTTATTTCTTGCTCTGAATAATTTAAAATACTGATAAGCAGTAACTTTTAAAATAATCCTTATATGTGAAAATGTATTGTGGCCAAAGAGTTGCATTCAATAGTTTTTTGAAATTTTCCATGATCAACCATTTAATGTGGCTTTTACTTCATTTATTGATATAAATTAGTGTCCCTATTGGCTTTATTTCATCAACAGATAAAGGGAAAGCTGGATTGGGTAAGTAGTTGGAATAGGGAAGCACTTTAGTATGATTTCTGGAGAAAAACTTTGCTACCATTTGAGATCAGTGTTAAACTGTATCATGGGAAGGTACTGTTATTTATTTTCCCACATCTGTATCCATTGGAGATATTGGAATATGAAAGCACTTTAGTATGATTTCTGGAGAAAAACTTTGCTACCATTTGGGATCAGTGTTAAACTGTATCATGGGGAAGGTACTGTTATTTATTTTCCCCACATCTCTATCCATTGGAGATTAACAGTTTTCCATAAATGAAGTAATGTGTATAGATAATGCTTGTTCTTTACTCATATTTCCACAGTAATAAATTCTGAGTTGAGAGTGTCGTGAGAGTAGAGGAAAAAAAACCCTCTAGCATGACTTCATGAATATTATAATGTCAAAAAGTTATTTTGATCACACTGAAAAATGTTATTTCCTTGTTAGTAACATACTTTGAATAGGAAGTAAGTTCCACTAAGTTTTATCATCTGTGGTAATTTTATCCACAAAAAAGTTTTCACTATAAGCATTGTCAATTAATGTATCTGAAATTAAAATCCATTTCTGTTCTTTTATATGGAGGTCAAAAAGTAAGAGATATATATGTGTGTTAAGATCCTTTGTCAAGGTATATTGAATGATGACCTACTAAGTAAATTGCCATAATTATTTCCTTAATTGGTGCAGTCTCAGATTGACCAAAATGCTCAATATTCAATAAATTATCTGTACTCTATGAAATACTAATAGACCTTAAACCACAAAACTGCGGATTCATTGTACATCTTTGTAAACATTTTTAAAATCTCTGCCGCTATTTAACACAAGGCCTGAGAAAATTTAATGTTGTAACATTGTTCTTGAAAATGTGTGATCGTTGAATCACGGAACAAAGGTGACTAATTACAGAATAGTACATCTCTATGCGCTGTTCAATTATTTTCCATGGGAAATAGGCTCCTGACTTTAATCTTTATAATTACAACTGCATTTCTTTAAATAATTTTAATTTAAAAATAATCTTTATTAAAGCTCGTAGTAAGCATAAACAATTCTTTAGAACAACAAAATTTAATAATCTTTCTATTGCCATTCCAAAAAATGTTTTAATTTCAGACTTCTTTATCGGAACTTTTAGGGTGCTACTTTGGTAGACGGTTGCACGGATTTTGGTGAGATTTTTTTTGACGAGTAATACGACTTATGGTAAACCCATTGCTGGATAAGTTATTTATGGTAACCAATACTTTGTTGTCATTTTCTTTAAAAAATAACGCGTTTTATTATGCATAAATTCTGTGTTTTAAATATTATTTATGGCTTCTAAATATTAAAAATCAATTTAATTTTGCAATTTCATTTGAAATAAAAATTTTGTTGTTTATAATATTTTATATAATTTTATGTTGTGGGTGATGTAATCAATGACGTCACCTTACTTAAAACGTAATTGGTTTTATTAATATCTATAAATTTAATCTAAAGTTTTAAACATTATTTATGGCTGTTAAATATTAAAATACAATTTAATTTTGCATTTGTTTTAAAAAATGATTTTATTATGAATGATTATTTAAATAATTTTAATTCTATGGCGTAATGTAATCAAGCTCCTTGATTGGTTACTGAATATTTGTGCAATTACCGCACGGCATTTTAAAATTTTATTATTCATCTCCTCGAATTCCTTCAGAACTTCAAAACAGAATGGATATGTCCGTTTCGAAGATGAATGTTGTTATTAGTAATTACCAAGAATTATTGGTATTGGAATAAAAAAATTGCCCTTGAGACCTTATTTTGGCCAACTTGGCTTTCCTGATCAAAGATTTATTTATAAATTGTTAATAGCATCAGAGGAAATTTATTTTAAATTTTTGGAGAAAACCTCGCTAATTGCTTCTCCAATGAAGTGCAAGAGATGTAAATCACAGATGAAGATCTCTCTCTCTCTCTTTTTTTTTTTTTTTTTTTTTCCCCTGGTACTTATCACTATACGGCAGGTAAAATACTTAAAAAAAATGTAAGTACATAATTTTCTTTTACTTTATAATTGTATACTTCAACTTTTATTAAAAAATTAATACAATGTTTTCAAAAATTCCTGAGATATTTATTGCCACATATGTTTTAATGTTAACTAATTAAATCCTATAAAACTTATTTTAAAGTATTTAAGTAATATTTTAATTCTTTTAAACGTTGGTATGATGTTTTTAATTCAATATTCAATTTAAGCAATATTTTAATCCAATTAAACGTTGGCGCAATGTTTTTATAGCGGTTTTTTATTCTGTTATATGAAAGTAATAATTTAACCTTACTTTAGCATTTTATACTCTTAGTAAATGTATTTATTTACATTTACCAGCCATCTTAAAAAACAACGTTTTCAACAAAAAATTAATTCATTATTTTTAACGATATCTATTTTTTTAAAGTTTCTTTACTATATGAGTAAAATAGGTAAAAACAGCATTTTTCAAGATGGCTGATGACTATAAAAACCGCGCCAACAATTGCCAAAAATCCATGCAACCATCTACCAAAGTAGCACCCTAATTTGTACTCCACGATCTGTGATTAGGTGACATGGTGTATCAAATCTTGAAATCCACTTAGAATTAAATGCTTTTGCAACTGTGTCTGCTGAAATGTTGTTAAGCGGAATCACTTCCATCCAGTTAGAGTACCGGTCAATGCAAGTAAGACAGTAAGTAATTCCCATTTGATAGCGGTATGGGTCCAGTGAGATCAATATGCACATCACAAAATCTTTCTGAAGGCAGTTGAAAATCACCAAAACTTCGCTTTGTGTGTTCATTAATTTTGCTTTTTTGGCAAGCTTTGCAGGATAGAGTCCAAAGCTGCACATCTTTGCAGATACTTCGCGAAATAAATTTAGATGATATGAGCTTTACAGATGACTTAATGCCAGGATGGGCTGCATTATACATTTGATGAAATATTTTCTTGCAATAACTGTCAGAAATATATGGTCTGATATTATTTGATGAAATTTCACACCACAAAGACTTCCCAGAAGGTAGCGGATGCTGCTTGACTTCAAATTAATTAGTCTTTATAATTGGAACTCCGTTTCTTTAAATAATTTTAATTCAAAAATAATCTTTATTAAAGCTCTTAGCAAGCATAAACAGTTCTTTAGAACAACAAAATTGAGTAATCTTTTCGCTGCCATTCCAAAAACAACAAATAAAACAATATTAACCATTATTTAAAATTTCTGTACAAGTTCAAGCCACAAGTCCTCGTGTACTTTGCCATGCTCAAATAACCTACCTTCCGGTTATTAAAATTTATTTTCTGCTAAATATTTATGTGCTACTAATTTTATACTTTTAAAATAATTTTTGCTATCAAGTTTTTCGTATAAATGATGAACTTAGTCTTTCACTGTACATTTTGTAAACATAGCTTTTCTATTTTTTAATATGTTTTAAAGTATGAAGATATAAACAGCTGTATGTGTTCATTAAATATTTCTTTCCTTTTTTAGTCAGATTGAGCAGCTGTTGCATAGCATTTAAGCAATGTAAAATCTTTGAAGTGTAAAATACTTAATTTATGTGCATATGTATATTTAATTGTAAATTTTAAAAATGTGCAATTTTTTTATTTTAAAATCATTTTAACAATATAAAAAGCAGATTCAAACAAAATTTTGTAGACTACAGAATTACTATATGAAAAATTAAATTTACAAGTGTACCTTGTGTACTCCAGAGTTTAAAAAAAAAAAAAAAAAAAATCCTAAAAATTAGAATGCAGATAAGAACAATCAAAGTAAGCATCTTGCTTTGTTTATTCTTATTTGCACCTAAATTTTCAGCAGTTTATTTTGTAAAATTAATAAATTTGGTTAAATCCTAGCTGCAATTTCATTATATATTTAAATTTTTAAGCTATAATGTCACACAGTTACATTATGTTAATTAAACTGAGATATGATATCTGTCAGTTAACTGTAGTCTGAACTTGAAATTTAGTGAGTGCATAATATTCTGTGTTAATATTTTGTTAAATAAGTTTAGCTTTATAATTTTAAGGAGCATCCTTTCATTCTAGTTATGTGAAGAAGTTAGTTTATGCAATAAGGGCATTTGCTGATGAAGAAAATAGTATGATACATTTGGAAAAGTTCCATAGCATTGGAGCAATAGGTGACAATATGCATAAAATGCTCAAAGCTTTTCTTCAGTCGGCACCTCAGTTATTATTACAACTGTATATCTTACTCTCTTTTCCTAAACAAGATAGCCATACAGGTGGGTAATTTTCTGTTGAATTATCCAAATTATCTTATGAAGGGAAAAGTTTTACATGTTTAAAACTGAAAATACCTGATTTCTAGCTTAAAATGTTATATATAGTTTTATAACATATTTCCTTGTTATAGTATTATAATTTTCTGTTGAATTATCCAAATTATCTTATGAAGGGAAAAGTTTTACATGTTTAAAACTGAAAATACCTGATTTCTAGCTTAAAATGTTATATATAGTTTTATAACATATTTCCTTGTTATAGTTTAAATAAACATCTCAGAGCCAATAATTAGGATAACCATGTGTGATTAACACCACTTTATTATCAAACCCACATAATATAAAAGAGATTTGAAGCTACATTGCTCATGCAAAGTCCAGTCCAACTCTTAACCGAATATTCATTTCGTTGCATGACCTGTAAAACCAAAGAAAGTTTATATTTGGATTAATCATACAGCATGTGATCTAGAGCAAGTTCTCTGTTTGAATAAAAATTATGCGCGACATTTGTTGATGGTCCAGATTCTAATCTGAATTTATCCTCAGCTTTTAAAGGAACTATTTCTTAGTGTTTGTTCCTTTTTTCGTCAATAGATCGCACCTGCAGATATGATTTTGTTTTGTTGTCGAAACTTTCTTGAATTTTCTAGTCTATTGTTTTTACTGGTATCTCGAAGCACAAGTTTATCGTTCATCATTTTTACTCTTGCAGCTGAAGCAGAAGGTTCTGCAGTAAAACTTTTAAAACTAGTACAGTCAAAAGTCGTTAATTCGGACACCCATAATCCAGAATGATCTATAATCCGGACCTCAAAGCTAAAAACTAAAATGCCGCGTTGACACATGCGCATAGGTGTTTACGCGTGCGCATAAGCTTTTTACCACTGTGCATATGTGTGTGCGCAAGAGCAGAATACGTTTTTGTGTGCACGTTTTATGTATAACGGACAGCATAATCTAAAATTATCTAATTATCTATTTCAGCTAATGTTGATGATTGCGTTGTTCCTTAATCTTCGAATTGGAGCCGGATTATTATTTTTTGCAGACTGTAAGAGCAATTTTAGAAAAGTAAACTTGAACTTTCGATTATGTCAAATAGAATTTCCGATTCTGGAGCTCCCAAAGGATCGTACAAAACGAAAGTATGTTTCGATGTCCATCAAACAAAAAGTGAAATTGCTGCAAAAAATGGATAAAGACATGAAGAATGTGACAGAGAGGTTAGTGAAAACGAAAAAATTTCGATTGACAAGTTAGTCGGTATTCTCGACACAACAATTAACGGGACTTGAACAGCGGAACTTTGTAACTGAACAAGAAATTGTGTCTGTTTATAGAATTAAAGAGAAAGTATTATCTTTACGGCTGCCAATATGCGTGTGCGCATGTGCAAAATACGTTTACGAATGCGTGTTTAATGTATAACAGACAGTATAAGCTAAGCTAAAATTATCTAATTCAGTTAATGTTGCAGATTGCGTTGTTCCTTAATCTTCGAATTGGATCTGGCTTATTATTTTTTGCAGACTGTTAGAGCAATTTTATAAAAGTAAGCTTGAACTTCCGATTATGTCATATAGAATTTCTGATATATATTTACTAATATGTAAAGTATCCACAAAACGAAAGTATGTTTCGACAATTAACAATTCGAATTAAACAAAAAGTGGAATTGCTGCAAAAAAGGGATAAAGGCATATCCTTTGTTTATCTAACCATTCCGAAATCTGTTTATCAATTTCACGCTGCTCTGTGTGTTTGGGGGGGGGACCTCGTGGCACGCAATGAACTGGAAGTTGATCTGTCAGCACTATCCTTATCTTCAGCGCAGATGTTTTTATTTTATTTGGCTTATAATTCTTTACTAAATGTAGTATTTCATCTTGATGTACTCCGTCTTTGATACGATTTAAATCAAATTCCTCGTCATTATAATTCGCTTCCGATAGCGAAGAAAGTGACCCAGAGTTTTTTGAAAACGAAAAAAATTTCAATTGACAAATTAGTCGGTATTCTCGACACAGCAATTATAGGACTTGAACAGCGGAACTATGTAACTGACAAGAAATTATGTCTGTTTATAGAATTAAAGAGAGAGTATTATCACATAAAAAATGAAGCAACTTAACAACTTACATTGAAAGAAATGTTTAATAAAGTAAACAAATAAATATTAAGCTTTTTTTTTTTTTTAAATTTTGATACCCTTTAGATCATAATTGTTCTTTATTTCATAAATTACGGTTTCATATTTTTAATTTTATAATTTCTGCATGCCATCTTACCAGATTTAAACTAAATGATCTATAATCCGGAATCGCCGAAGTCCCGACGAGTCCGGATTAATAACTTTTGACTGTATATTAAAGTTATATACATGTATAGCAAACCCTTTCTAAAATGTTTATTCACAGTTTCTGATAATTTTGATTTTCTATGGTTTTCTAAAGAGCTTATAGTTAGCATGTATATTTCTTTGTATTCAAGAAAATACTTTCAGGAGCTTCAAGTGTAGCTGTGAGAAGACTGATAATACTTTATTAGCGTCTCAAATACACAAAATAAAAAAGGAACTTTTTCTACTAAACTGATAGATAATAAAATCATTCGTTTTCATATAGATAGCACATCATGTTTAATCTCTATACATGTTTAATTTCTTATGACAGCGTGTCAACAGTACTTGCTTGCAGAAAATAAAATAAAGTAACGATATTATAGAAAATATTAATACCTTAGTTGGTACTTATCGTACAGTTATTTTCTCAGTTCTTGCACATAAAAGTAGGCTATTTGAAGTATATGCATTTAACTTTGGTTTCTTCATCAAGAATGAATTTATTCAAAGTACTTCATATGAAACTCTGATCAAATTTAAATTCCTATTACTTACTGACTTTCTGTTGTAATTCTGCAAAAGTTGGAAGTTGCTTTCTTAAAGCAATTCTTAAAGATCAGTCTGATTAGTTTGTGTTATGAAAACTCTCTTTAGTCTTATTGTAAAAAATAAAAATAAATAAATAAATAAATAAAAGCCTATTTATAGTCTTAATGCTAACTGCAGTGGAGCAAAAAAATTCAGCATCTGCTAAAACACTTATTCTGTTTCACAAAACTGAATGCAGTACTTTAAATGGAATGAAATTTAATCATTTAAGTATACTTGTTAATGTTTTGAAAAGACGAGCTGTAGATATGGATAAGTTATTTTACTCAGCAAAAAGAAAAAGTATATTATTTTTCACACCTTAACAAACATGTATATACGTAAAAAATATAAATTTAAAGTTAAAATAATTAAAAGATGTGTAAACATATTGGTATTTTCCTTTTAGACCTTTAATTATTAATTTCTTAAGGTACCACATAATTGGTAATTCTTTTTGGACATTCTTCACTTTACTTTTGGTTTTGACTTTTACCCTTGCTTGCATGAATGACGAAACACGAATTGAATGATTGAAGAGTTAGGTTTGGAGGCAACTTCCCCTTGATAAGTCTGTCTTCTACCTGCTCAACGGTCATTCACTGCATTTTTAAAAAAAAATTTTTAGATTAATTTTAATTTGCTAAATTGGTGAATTTATTTTTATGGTTTGGTTTTGCACTTGATTTACTTATGCTATCTGAATTTAAATGATATTGTAGATTAGTTCCAAAATTAAATCTTTTATATATTTGCACATTTTTAAATTATTTTAACTTTAAATTTGCTTTTTTTACGTATATACATGTTTGTTAAAATTTAAATTTCATTCCTTGCAGCAATAGCGCAAAGAATTAACTAAAAAACCAATGGAAAAAAACACCAAAAACGCATGGAAAAATACTAAAAAGCCAATGGAAAAAACACGAAAAAATGCATTTAAAAATACTAAAAAAAAATTTAAAAAACACCAAAAAATGCATGGAAAGAATACTGAAAAGCGAATGCAAAAAATGCATGGAAAAAATACTAAAAACCAATGGAAAAAACACCCAAAAAATATTAGTTAAAATTTATAATATTTCAAAGACATCATGGCATCATCATCAGACAATAATGGCCTAGTTGTCACTACTGTATTTTTAATACTATTTTTTACATTTTATGGGAGTTAATTGTACTAGAAATTGTGGTAGTGTATTTCATGTCATTTCTTTATCTATAATAATTTAATTACAAATTCATAAAAATTAATGTTGGTAAGTGTTGTTTGATCTTCAAATAATTGTTGTTTGCCGTGTTATTTTTACTTCAATTTGTTATACTCTTCCCTTCAAGCCATATAAGTTGTCCTCAGTTTACAGCTTGCTGTTGTTGACTGCCCTCTGGAAGGAACAGCGCATGCATCAGGTTCAGCTATTATTCTTGGTTACCCCTTCTTCAAACTGAAAGTAGTCTTGCACTTTGTATGGCTACTGGGCAGATACATGGTCGTTACCTGTGGAAGAGAAAGGATTATCATCATATGAAGTTAGCGATCACTGGTGTAAGAAGATGTAAGGACCGTCATGCCTTGGCGTGAATTTAGAAATTTGATGCTTCTCAACATTACTAACGAGGTGAACTGTAACCCACACTTTGTCACTTTGTTTGAAGAGAGAAGCTTTCTTTAATTTCTAATCAGCATAGTGCTTATGATTATTCTGGCTTTACTAACGGGGTGAACTGTAACCCATGCTTTGTCACATTGTTTGAAGAGAGAAGCTTTCTTTAATTTCTAATCAGCATAGTGCTTATGATTATTCTGGCTTCCCTCTGTTCGTTCTATTTTATAAAATTGGCAAATTTCTTTAGATATGGCGTTATCTCAACAACAAAATTATAATTTTCGACTTGTCTGAACGGTGGAGTTATATTTTGCTGTGTTAAGAACAACTTTGATTGCTGATACCTTCTTGCTCCAGAAAAGTATGTTCATTTCCAGCTAACAAGAACAAACAAAGCTTAAGGTCTTTGTTTTTCTTTTCCATATAGCGGATTTCTGCGGATGGTAAACTGGACTTAAGGT